GTGAAAGTGTGCCCCAGAGGTGAGAGGGGTAGGAGGGACAGAGACTGAGAGCCAGGGGCACCACTACCCCTCCTCAGCCTTCTCTTCTCTCAGATTGACTTCAACAATGGTTTCTCTCATTGAGTTGTCCAAGGGAAGAGTGAGACTCAATGAGCTATCTGACCCCGGGGGTATCCAAAAAGACACTTGATAAATCCCTTCGAAGGAGGCTACTGAAGGGATTCCTACACTGAGAGTAAGACTGGACTAGGTGATCCCAGAGGGCTAGTTCAAAATCAAAGTCTTTCAGGGATTGTAACTCCATCTAGTGATGCAGCCATCTCTTGACCAGCTCTCAATCATCACTAAGACCTTCTGCACCATTCCTATTCTTCATTTCTTTTGTCTTTTCTGAATTATTCTTCTACTCTCAATCTTTCCCTCTACTTGATCCTGTTTTCTTTCCCTTCCCCTGCTTGCAGAGGCTCAGACTTGTCATGCCAACTATAGTGAAACAGTCCATTTCTAAAACCTTTCCCTATTCCATGCAGTCAACAAATACAACATCAGAACTGAAAGGGACTTTAGAATGTTTGATCTGGGAGGGCCCTTAGAACTAGGAATGTCTGAGTTAGGAGGGACCTTAGAACAAAGAGTGTCAGAGCTGGGAGGGTCCTTAGAACAGGCAATGTCAAAGCTAGAAAGAACTTTAACACACTGAACACAAACTGTCAGAAGAGAAAAAGACCTTGGAACAAAGAATAGATGTCCCATCTAGAAGGGACCTTAAAACATGGAATGTCAAAACTGGACAGGGCCTGAAATCATCCAGTATAGAATGTCAGAACTGGGAGGGGCCTGAGACCATGGAATATCAGAGCTGGGAAGGTTTTAAGGGCTAAAAGATGTAGTGGAATGAAGTAAAAAGAAGGCTAGAATTGGAAGGAGAGGACCTGAACTCAGCTCTCCTGCTTACTATGTGGGCAGGTCATTGAACCTCTCTGGTCTCAGTTTCCTCATCTGCCAAATGAGGTATTAGATGCACTGGTCCCTAAACTCCCTTTCGGCTGGAACCCTATGATGTGGTCTAATACTTTTATTTTACAGAAGAGGAACCGAAGCTGAGTGAGTGTAGGCAAGGTCCAAAGCTATGCAGGATTAGAATCGAGGGTCTCCTGCTTGTTAGGCTGTGCCCGGTCGTGAATATAAAGTCATTTCTGTTGTCAGACTATGTCAGTGGGTCTGAGAAGAGAAACACAGCCTTTCTCAGCTTGGGGACCTCGGCTTGGAGTTGGGAAGATCTGAGCTGAAATACAGCCTCAGACACTTACTAGCTGTGTGACCCTGAGCAAATCATTTAGCTTTTGTTCGCCTCAGTTTCCTCAAATGTAAGATGGGGGTCAAGAGAGCTCCTACCTCACGGGGTTGTTATGAGGATCAAATGAGATAACTGTAAAAGTGTTTAGCACAGGGCCTGGCACATAGTAGGTGTTATTTAAATACTTACTCCCTTTCCCTCCCTTCTTTCATCTGAGGTTCTCCACGCCTTGTCCATTAATCCTCAGCCACAGCCACCTTCAGAGGATCTCAAAGCACCTTTCCTTCTCATACCACAAGTCCTTCTGAGGCCTCAATATTCTTAACCCTTAAAAGCACCTTCCGGAAATAGAAACTAGTTATCTGACTTCTCATCAAACTGAAAGACCCAGGCATCTGGATTCCACACCCGCCCTTCCTTCTCCCCCGCCCCTGAGTTTCCTCTTCCAGGATTAGTCTTTCCAGGTTTCACGAAGTCATTAGCTACACAGCTCTGGGCAGCAGAATATTTCACCTTTCGAGGCTTCAGTTTCCTCAGCTGTGAAATGGGGCTAATAACATTTGGAGTACCTCTAAAGAGCAGGAGAAGTGTGAGCTGTTCTCATTAACCCTTGGCCCGAGGGCTTTGCATTCACTCGGTCGTCTCTGAGTGAGTCGGTGTCTCCCCAGGTGGGAAGAAGGGGAGTTGGTTGTCATTTCTGCAGTCCAGTCACTGTTGTAGTTAGAGTCTGTGTCACCATCTCTGCTGATCCCTTACAGCCTGGCCCACCCTGTCTGGTGGCCAGGGGATCCTTGGGCAGACTGGGGGAGGGGGGTAGCCAGAGGGAGGGGGTGGAGGGTACTGTCTTTCACTGTCTACCTTCCCCCCAAGCTCTTTCCAGTCTCCTCCCACATGTTCCTTAGTCTCCCCTTCTTGTTGTTTTTCAATCTCTCTTCTTCATTCCTCCCTTGCTCTAACTCCTGTTTTCTATTCAGCATCTGTCTATCCGTTCCTCGGTCTATCCTCTTTGCCTCTAAGAGCCTTTGGTCTGTCTTTCTGTCCCTCGGGCTCCCAATCCCTCCCTCTCTATCTCTCAGTCTGCCCTATCACTCATTCTCTTCCTCTGTCCCCAAGGCTCTCCACTTTGTACCCAGCCTTTCCCTCAGCCTCCTCCCTCTGTCTCTCCCTTTGCTCCTTCTCTCTCCTATTTCTCGGGCTTTCTGTTCCTCAGTCTTCTTCCTCTTTCTCCTTTTCTCTCCCATTTATCAGGCTCCCTCTTACTATCCCTCCTTTCCATCTCTCAGTCTCCCCCTCAGCCCCTCTGTCTTCTTTTTTCACTGTCTCTCTTTTTTTAACTTCTTGTTCTCTTTTTTCCTGCCTTTCCTTCTCTCCTCCTCTCTGTCCCTCAGTCTTTTCCTCTAGGTTCCTCATATGCCCCTCCCTCCTAATGTGCCTCCCCCTTTTCTGGCCCTGACATTTTATGTTCTATGAAACTAGGAATGTCTTTGATTTTAAAATGCAGAGTCCAACATCCCCATGCTGGGCATTGTAGGGGAAGGAGAGAAGACAGAGTCACACAAGCCTTGAGGCCTTGTAACTTGATGCTGCCTATACATTGGGACCTGTCCCATCCCTGATTATGTACTTGTGTTGGGAGTGGTCTCAGAGCTGGGAGGGATCACCTAAAATTATAGGACTGTGGAGCTGTAAATCTGAGAGAGCTCACCTAATCCAAATGAAACATAAATGGAAAGTGCCAGAAATTCCATTAGACCACCTGGGTTCTTCTATTTACTTATGTGGCCTTAAGTAGGTGCTTAAACCATCTAGACCTCAACTGGAAGGAAAGGTAGAGCTGGAATTGGCTAGTTTAAATCCTTTGGTTTACAGATGAAGAAACTCAGTCTTCCAGAGGGTATGTGACTTGTCCAAGTGGCAAAGCTGGGCCTTTAAGCCAGATCTGGGCCGAAATCCAGTGTTGGGAAGGGATGCAGGCCTAGGAGGGAATTCAGCGCCAGGGTCCCTCAAACTTCGAGTCCTAAATTCGTCATCCCTGGCCTCCCCTCCGAGGGACTGAAAGTCGAGCTCTGGCCTTCAAAGAGTCAACAGGCATTTATTAAGCACCCACTTGTGCCAGGCACTGCATGCTATAGAGGAAGGTAAAAGATCAGCCTTGCTGTCAAAGAGCTCACATTGTAGTGGAGGACACAACATGCCAACAGCTATGTGAGCAAACAAAATATGGACAGGCTAAATTGGAGATGTTCTCAGAGGGAAGGCGGCTGCTTGCAGAAGGCGCGGTTTTAGCCGGGGCAGCGGGGGTGGGGGGTGGGGGGAGGAGGGCACATGCCTTCCCCTTCACAGTTTTTTCCTCGGGTAAATGAGGGAATTGGACCAGATGTGTTCTAAGGCCCCTTCTAGCTCTGTGTTTAATAATAACCCTAATAAATAGAACCCACGTGTCTATAGGCTTCAAGGTTGAACCCCTCCCCACTATTGTCCCATGTCTAAGGTGCTCACACGTGCCAGCCCGTAGTAGAGCCCAATTCGGGGGGAGGAAGGCAGCGGGGAGAGTTTGGGGCGTGGGTGAGGGCCGGCAGCCAGGACTTCTGGAAGGCGAACGGGGTCCCCCAAGACTCCTTCTGGGACCGGGTCATCCCCGTCTTCGCCACGCTGCTCTTTTGGCCCTACCTGGCCTTCCCCTTCCAGCCCCAGGCGGCCGATAGTAAAAGTTTCTATTAATAACAGCCTTGCAGCGCACCCGGGGAGCCGAAGAGTCGGGGAGCCGCTCTGCGCAGGCGCGAGCGAGACAGCAAGCGAGAGGGATTCCCTCTGACGTCATTGCTAGGATACCAAACAAACACTCGGAGCCCAGCCGATGAGCTCCATATATGGCTAATTGCGTCAAAGGGAATCCGCTCGGGGCGGGGCGCGGACAGGCGGCGGGATCCTCCTCCCAGCCGAAAAAGCGCGCTGGGGGCAGGGCGAGGGGGCTCCGGGGGGCGTCTCGACAGGCTCGAGAGGGGCTGATCCTGCTCTCTAGAGCCCGTCCGGGGTTGGGTGCGTCCGGGGCCCCGGGGCCGAGCAGGCAGGAGGCGGTGGCTCCGGGACCTGGGCTTGGGGGAGGGTCAGGGCTCCCTTTGCGAGGGGGTGACGTCAGCCGGAGGGGGCGTGGTTCGCGCTATAAAGCAGCCCCGAGCTCCCCTGTCCCCTCATTCATAAGCTTATCGGGAGCGGGCGGTACGGTGCAGGAGCCGAGTGGGGACGGGCATCGATTTTCTCCATCTCTAAATCTTACCAGGGCTTCTCCCTGCCGTGCCCGGACAGCACCTGCGGACTTCGCTCTTTTTCTTGGTCGGCCCCAGGACTCGCCCGCCGCCGCCGCCGCCGCCGCCGCCGCCGCCGCTCTGTCTCTGGCTGCTTCTCAGGAGTGCAGGGTCGGGGGCCAGGCGGGATTCCACTAAGCGGGACAGCAGAGCTCGGAAACAAGGGGGGACGGGGCCTTCTCCCCCGCCCCCTCGAGGGAAGATTTGCCCCCCCCTTGGCCCCCCAGCGTCGGACAAGCGGGGCAGGGGAGGGGACTCGGGTCCAAAAAAAACGAGCTTCCTCCGTCTCTCCACATTTCAGCGCCGGGAGATATTACTTCAGGATTTGGACTTGTCCACCCACGTCCCCCTTGGACTTGGGGGCCACCTGGACCGCCGGACTCTTTATCGGCTTGTTTGTTTTTTCCTCTCGTGCCGAGTCCCCCCACCCTCGGTCCAGCCTTGGCTTCCAGGCGGCCCCAGCGCGGTCACAGGCCACCCCCTGGGGTGCCCGGGGAGATGTTTCAAGCCTTCCCCGGAGACTACGACTCCGCCTCTCGGTGTAGTTCGTCGCCGTCGGCCGAGTCCCAGTACCTGTCATCAGTGGACTCCTTTGGCAGCCCCACGACTGCCGCTGCCTCCCAGGTAGGCGCTGGGGCCAGAAAGCCCTCCGCCGCCAGTCAGCAAGAAAGCTCAGGGCGAAGGGGGCAGGGGATGGGGGTGAGGGTCGCCGGGGTCCGAGCTGGGTGAAGGGTCCGGAACGGCAGTTCCCGCTCTTCCTCCCTGGCACGGTTAACCAGGTGCCTCAGTTTCCCTACCTGGACAAGGAGACCAGCGGGTTAGACTGACCGCATACGGGCGGCTCGGTGGGTTGATTGGTCTATAAACTGAAACTTGTTTCGGGAAACCGGGATTAGGATGTTGTCCTACTATCGGGATCTCTAAGCTCAAATCTCTATGCAATCTCTATGCAAACCGAGAAGAGTTGGAGCTCTGGATTGGGAGGGTATGGGGGGGGTCCTAAGCCGGCTTTGGGAGTTTAGAGGGGCCACACGCCCCGAACAGAGCAGTGCAGGGGCCAGCTGGCTACGGAAGGGGCTTTGCAAACAGGGGTCCTGCAAACAATTTTGGAGAAAGCCTCGGTGCAGGTCGCCCCCATTCAGAGCAGACTTAGTAGCCCCGAGCGCCCGAAGGGGAGGCGGGTCTCGAACCCCCTCCGCCTCCGGCGCTGGAACGTAACGGGGGACCCATGCGTAAGGGCTGACGCGCTGGAATCCTCCGTCTGACGCGGGGCACGCACGGCGCGCGGCCCGCCCCCCTCCCTGCCGCCGCCGCCCCCCCTCCCCCTGACGTCCTGGGGAGTCTTCTATTTTGGAACGCCCGAGCCACGTTGCTAAGGGAGGGAGGGCGGGGGGAAGAGGCCGAGCCGCTGATTGGTCTCGGGAGACGAGGAAGGGAGCCAATCGCCTGCAAGGGTAGACTTCTCGCTCGCGGCGCCCCCCTCCTCTCCTCTCCTGCATCATCCTCTCTCCCCGAGCCTAGTCCATAACCTTTGGAAGGAATCGGGGGCCTCACTATCGGGACATGAGAGGGGAGGCGGCGTAGCACCCAACGGGGCTCGCGACAGGTCCCGGAAGCGCTGTTTTCAGACCCGGGATCCGGTCTGGGACCCCACGTGTCTAATATAGCGTGCTCCTCTCTCCCCCGTGCCGCCCCATCGCGACATAGGACGACAGTGTGTCTCCCGGCAGCTATGATAGCCCTCGGTCCTTGAGGGCGACCTTGGGTGGGGCCTAGTGGGTGCAGCAGGAAAGCTGGGTAGAGGATGAATGCGGGTGTAGACGGAGAGAGGGGGGAGGCGTTTGAGCACCCCTGCCTCCCCTCGGGTTGAGGGAATGAAGATTCCCTGCCCCCACTCCGCGCTACGCCCCAGATTTAGCCCTCCGATCAAGTTCAAGTCCCAGCCAGGGCCGGGACTTGAACCCACGGGGGCCCGTGGGAAGTTCGGGGCTGCGTGCGCTCGCTAACCGCGTAAAAGGCTCCGCCCCCCCTCCAAGTTCAAAGCCACGCTGCCATTGGAGGCTGCGCAGGAGGGAGGGCCCCGTGGGGGGCGGTGAGAAGGCAGAAAGAATCTCAGATACTTTGGGAAGGCTCGGAGGCTGGGGGGAAGATGGAGAAACACCCAGAAGAGGGGAGGAGGGAGAGACACGGAGATCCTAGGACGGCCGTACAGGCATCTTCACACCTGCCGGGAGCCACGCACGCCAGCACACCGCTCCAGCGTAGTCCCGGGGAGTCGTGGGCTGCTGCCGGGCTCTCTTTTCTCACTATGAGACACAACCCCTCCGGCCTTTCGGCCCTCGACAGGAGCTCAGAGACTTTTCCCCTACTATACTGCTCCAAACTCCGGCCATCCCCCCCTCCCAGGCAGCTCAGATGACAGCCCCCAGGAGAGGACAGGCACATGCCTGGCCCGGAATCCTGCCCCCATTTTCAAGGGCCACTTGGGTTATTTATTAGTAGTGGGATGCAAGTTGATCCTAGCAGGGGCATCAGAGCTGGAAGGGCACTTTTGAAAAAATCCCTCTGTGGTCCCCCACAGCCTTATGTAGTGGTCTGAGGGGAAAACCACTTTTAAAGCCCAAACATGGATGATAGAGAAAGGAAGCGACTCAAGGTCATATGAACAGATCTGGAACCCAGGTGTCCTCTCCCCGTGGCCTTCATCTACAAAGATCCTGACATTCAGACAGGCCTCTGGATTTGAATCCTGGCTCTGCAAATATGCTTAATTACTGGGGCATATGCTCAAGTTATTCTGGGGCCTCAGTTTCCTCAGCTGTATCATCAGAAGATTTAAAACTGGATAACCTCTTTCAGCACTAAATTCGATCCTTTAGACCAGAGTAGTCAGTCACCGGAGAGGAAACTGAGGCAGAGTTAGGAGGACTTCCCAGCCACAGTGGAATCAGACCCCCTATCCCCATCAGCTTTTCCTCCTCCCCACCATCACCATCACTTTTCTTCCTTCTTCTAGAATCAGGGGTGGGGTTGGGGGTGGGGAATGTGTGTATGAGTGTGTGTGGGACCTGAGTCCCTCAGTTCTCCGGTCTCTGTCCTACAGAAACACACACATACACACACACACACACACATCCACTCACACACACATCCACATGCAGGAGTCACCAACCTGGGTGTGAATCACCACGGGCTTGAGCTGTTCAGTGCAACCTCCAGAGGAGGAGGAAAAGCCAGGGATGTGAACGGCTCTCATTAACCACTGCGTCACGGTGTAGTGGAAGGGGGTAGGTGGTGGTGGCTTGGCTGCCTGTGACACGCACTCACCCAGTGGCTCACCACGAGGGTGTTGGGGGGTGTGTGTATGTCTGTCTGTCTGTGTGTTCGGTCTGCATGCCCCGGGCTCTGCCCATCTCTCTCTCAGCAGGAGTGTGCTGGCCTTGGTGACATGCCTGGCTCCTTCGTGCCCACGGTCACTGCCATCACCACGAGCCAAGACCTCCAGTGGCTGGTCCAGCCCACCCTCATCTCTTCCATGGCTCAGTCCCAGGGCCAGCAGCCACCTCTGGGCCCCCAGCTGCCCACTGTCGACCCCTATGACCTGCCTGGTACCAGCTATTCTTCCCCTGGGATCAGCGGCTATGCCAGCGGTGCAGGACCCTCGGGGGCACCTTCAACTGGCCCTCCACCCTCACGTCCTGCACGGGCCAGGCCTCGACGGCCCAGAGAAGAAACGGTGAGTCTGAAGGGCACCTGAGCATATAGGCTAGGCAGAGTAGCTGGATATCCTCAGAGAAGGTGGCAGGGGAGAAGAACCATGGTGGGTGAGGTCACCAAATCCTCACTGTTAACACTGCTTTGGGGGCATTCTCCAGATTGGGGGAGGGGCAGCCTCTGTCTCCTCTACTAATCTGGAGTTTTCCTCATCCACCTGGACCTTGGCTTACCTCTTTCCTGAGAGAGGGATAGGGTTTATTTTTTAATAATTGTTATGGGATAAATAGGGGAGCTGTGGAGCAACGGGAGGAGATGACATCATTGGAAGGAAAGGGAGAAGGGGGTCCGGGTTGAGGGAGGGGGTTCGGGTTGGAGGGGCAGGTGGCCACTTCCTCAGAAAGAAGGCTCACTAACTTTCTTCCCTCACAGCTCACCCCTGAAGAAGAGGAGAAGAGGAGGGTCCGGCGAGAGCGGAACAAACTGGCTGCGGCCAAATGTCGGAACCGAAGGCGGGAGCTGACAGACCGTCTACAGGCGGTGAGGGTTTCTAATATGGCAGCCCCAGAAGGCGTGGTTGGGCGGTTGTTGGATGGGGCCAAACCTTCAGGCTACCTCTTTCATCCCATTCTCTCCCTTTCCCCTACTCATTCATCCCATTCTCCCCCCCCCCCCAATCAGCCTGCAGGGGCCATTAGTGTTACCTCAAACATGAGAAGGACCCTCTCACAGTGAATCTAATCAGGTTCCCCACATTGAACCCTGTGTATGTATGTCCACATGCACAAGGAAAGAAGCTTGATTCTCAGCTAGCTTATGCCACCCGCTGTGCCCTTGCCCCCACGGGCCCCCCCCCAACCTTGTCCTTTGGAGTTCAAGGAGTAGAGGAGGTCCAGGATTAATGTCTATCCATCATGGCAGGATGGACCCTAGGGCTAGACCCTAGAAAGCAGGATAGTGGAGAAAGCCTCCATTTGTGTTATCAGAGAAAGTTGGATATTGGACCTTCCAAAAAGCATCAGAGATACAACCATATATGACTGTGGTCAGTACTCCCTTCCATAAAGCAGTCCCTAGGAGGAAGATTAGACTATATCAGATGCTTTCTGAGGTCTCCCCAGCTCTGAGTCACCTGAAGGATTCTCTCTCTCCTTGCCTCCTTCATCTCCCCCCTCCCCCAGCTTTTACATTGGCACTTTCCTTTGACCAGGCTCCCTCACAGACTTGACCAAGAAACTCCTTCTACTCTATGAATATCTCAAGAGAAGAAAATTACTCTTAAGATCCCCCCAGTTGGGAGAGAGGGAGAAGGAGGACTTTTCTAACTCTGTCCTCTGCCCAATTTCATCTTGTTCCCAAGAGCTCCCTCCACCATTCCACCATTCCACCCTTCCTTAAAATTTCACAGCAAGATGAAACTCCCTCCTGGTAGTGAGGGAGACAAATACATTCTTCCCCAGGCAGCCCCCCTTCCCTGCCCCAATGTGAAGAAGAGGTGATAGCACCTAGGACTAGTGCTTGGTACAATATTGACCACAATTTGGACTTTGAACTGGATACCTTCCTAAGTCTTCCATCCAGTATCTGGATGACAACTTCATCTTGGGGTGGAGGCTGGGATTTCTTTTAAAGGGAAAAAGAGGGATGGGGAGGGGAGGGGGAATCCATATGGACAGACCATATTGAGCCTAATCTAATGGAGAGGCCTGGGTTTTGTGACAGAGCAAGCTGGATTGGAATCTTGTCTCCGTTATAGCAGACTATGTGTGATTCTGGACATGTCTACCCAACCTCTCTACTTCTGCAGTTTCTTCATCTGTAAAAGAGGAGGGGAGACAGTCCAAGCTTTGTAAATAATTCCTCTGATCCTAATAATGATAGAGAGATGTAGTACATTGGAAAAAAGAATGTTAGCTATGGAGTTGGGGTTGAAGACCTGGATTCAAATTTCACCTCTTAAGATGAGCTAGATATGCCATCTCTGACTTGATTGGCATTTACTTGAGACCTCTGTGGACCTAAGGTTCTTCAACTGTGAAACAAGGGGGGAAGGATGGAATGGATGGCTAGATTGCTGCCAGTTTAAATATACATGTGTTCTCTGATTCTATATATGATATGGTAAAAAGAGAGAAAGGACACACAGGTCTTTTCGTATCAAATTGATGATTGGCTGTCAGAGCTAGAAAGAAACAGAGATAATTCGGTATTTTACAGATGAAACTCCAGTCAACCTGAAGAAGGAAACTGGCCCACTCTGAAGCCATTTACAACTGATAATTATTCTTTTTGGACAGTGGGGTCATAAAAAATCAGATCTGGAAGGAACCTTAGAGATTTTTCTGTCTTAACTCCTCAGTTTAACACATGGGGAAACTGAGGCACAAAGAAACAATGGGCCTTGCCCAATTTCGGGGTGGGGGATGCCAGGGCAGGAGAGACTTTAGAGATCAGCTAGTCTAGTTCAATTCCTCCTTTTTGCAAAGGAGGATACTTGAGGTCCACTGGCAAAGCTTCTTCTTCCCTAGTAGATCCTTAGTAGGAGGCATGATTGGAACTCTAGTTTGGGGATTCCACATCCGAAGTGGAATTGATTTAGAAGCCAGAAGGGTATGGCCCTAGTCATGCTGCTGACCTGGCTTCTCTCTCTCTCTCCTCTTTCTCCGCCACTGCCTGCTGCCCTGGGGTACCAGGAGACGGACCAGCTGGAAGAGGAGAAGGCAGAGTTGGAGTCAGAAATCGCCGAACTCCAGAAGGAGAAGGAGCGGCTGCAGTTTGTGCTGGCAGCCCATAAGCCAGGCTGCAAGATCCCTTTTGATGAGGGGCCCGGGCCAGGGGGCCCCCTGGCCGAGGTGAGAGCTTTGCCTGGGCCCACGCCCACTAAGGACGATGCGTTCGGGTGGTTCCTGCCGCCGCCGCCCCTGCCCTTCCAGACCAGCCAGGAGCCCGGCCAGGAGGGGCCCCCAGACCTGACGGCTTCTCTCTTTACACACAGTGAGGTCCCAGCCTTCGGCGACCCCTACCCTGTTAACCCTTCGTATACCACCTCGTTTGTACTCACGTGCCCGGACGTCTCCGCATGCGGCGGTGCCCAGCGCAACGGCAGCGACCAGTCCTCTGACTCCCTGAACTCGCCCTCCCTCCTTGCTCTGTGAATTCTTTTAGAGGGAGGGGGCGCTTCTCTCTGGAGACAAAAAACTGGGGGGAGGTTGCTACACCCCCCTCCACTCTTTTGGCCTGCACCTACCTGAGGATTCCTTTCATCCTCGAGGGGTCATTGACCTGAGTCAGCCTCTCTTCATCCTTGGCCACCAACCGCCGGATTCCTCTCGACCTGAGGCTTCCTTCCTTCTCGGCCACCGACTGGATTCATCTTGACTCGAGGCTTCCTTCCTTCATCCCTCCTCAGCTGGGATTCCACTCACCCTTGGTCTGATGCCTGGCCCTTCCTTGAGCCCTGACCCTTCGACCCTCGGAGCTTGCCCTACCATGCCTATTTGACCCTCCACTCTGACTGTCGCCAATGAGAAAGGCGGAGACTTTGTGGGGGATGCACCTGAGGGCTTTGCTCCTGGGGGAGGAGGGGAGGGAAGAGGTATGGAGAGAAATTGTTGGTTGCCATGGCCTGCGAGCCATGTGGGGCTGGGGGCTTCAGTGGGTTGTGAGGGGGAGGGTCTGGGGGATGGGTTCGAAACCTTACCTGTGATGGAATCTCAGGCCCTTACCCAAGACATCCCCTGGTCATTGTTTCCCCATCAGCTCTCCCTAGAAGAGTATTAACTTATATAGCCACTTTCCAAAGTCAGAGGTGAAAGGCTCAGTCTCCTTCTTTCTGCCCCCCATGGTTAGGAGATGAGGAGCCTCCCTTCCCCTTTGTAAGCAGTATTATTATTTTATTATTCCTATTCCCTTTTTCCCAGTAAATCCTCTTCACCTGCTTCCTCTTCTCTCACCCGCACCTCTCAAGCCCTTGGTGGTTTCGCTGGGCTTTCCTTATTTCATGTGGCTGGTAGAGAAGGGTGACTCACCCTTCACCCTTGCCCCTAGCTGAGGTATTTATACTGTGAAACGAGGTCTTGGGGAAGGGTAGGGACCAGGGAAGTACAGTGATGTCCTCAGTCTCCTTTGGTGGGGAGGAGAAATGAAGGGAAAGTTTCCCTTTACCCCAGACTGGGTCTCCCACCCCTTCAAACTGATATACTCTTCCTCTATATCATCCAACAAGTGAGACAGGGTCCTTTTAATGGCACCATGGGGCGCCCTGCTTTAATGTCCTCTTCTGTTGGGTTTCTTTTTCCTCCACCCCCCCCCCAGCCTAGGACGCCAGCTTCTCCCCTGTCTTGTCCAGGAAGATGGGCCAGCTCTCTTAGGGGAGAAGTGACAGAGCCGAGGCTTCTGGCCTTTGGGGGAGCCGAACCGGTGGAACTCATCCCTCCCCCTTACTTCTTTGCTTAAAATTGGTGGTAGTTTGGCAGGAGGGGGTGCTGGAGGACAGTGATCTCAAAGCATCCATTACTCTCTGAAGCTGGATGATTCAGGGCCCAACCCTGGGTTTTTCCCACTCATATCCATCTGCCCCCTAATTCTATCCCATTCCTCTTCTTTTTAAATCTGGGGAACTGGTATCTCAACCTATTGGTCACTGGGATGATAAAAAAGGATGGATACTCAGCTCCAGTCTCTCCCGGGCCATGGTCCTTCTTTCTCTTCCTCTTCTCCCCTCATCCTGCAAACCTCACCTCCCCTACCTTATGTTTTTTTTTACATTTGCAGATTTCCTCATTTACAATTGAGGGAAAGTGAGACTCTGAGACGTTAAGTGATTTGCCCAGGGGCTCAGAGCTAGTAAGTGTCCCAGGAAGTATTTGAACCCAGGACTTTCTGTCTCTACGTCCAGAGGGACCACCTATGATTTTTAAAAATTTTTTAATTTTGGAAATTCGGCCTGGGGATCTCAAAGTATCTATGATGTCCTATGTGAATAGGACAATGAGACAGCTCCAGGAGGGCCTAAGACCCTAAGCTATCCCCTTAGCTCCATCCCCAGGCCAAATCCTCCAGGCCTTAGGAAAAGGCCAAAAATAAAATCAGGCTCCCCCTTCCCCATGCCTCCTTTTTCCTTTCTGCCTCATGCCCTGAGAATTGTTCACAACAAGAGAAATTCCAGTTTTAAAAAAATCTACGAGATTGGGACCCCATCCTTCCTGTTCTAGTCCCTTTTACTGCATGGTCAACATTCCACACCAGACCTGTTCCCTCACTAACCACCCCCTCCCCCAAATCCCTGGCCTCAACAATTTCACCCTTTCCTGGTTTCCAAAAGGCACTATATCTATTCTGTACAAATATATATTATATTATATTATATATATGGTGTGTGTGTGTGTATGTGTGTGAGTGTGTCTGACTGTGATCCTGCCCCACTCCAGGCCCTCACTCAATAATCAGGGTACTCTTAGTTTCTCTGTCTCTCCTTTCATGTTTGTCTCTGCTCCCTTCTCAGTAATCCTGTCACCAATTTGTCCCTGTCTCCCTCTCTGCCCTTCATGTTGTCTGTCTATTTGTCTCTCTGTTTCATAGTCTGACTCTTTCTTAAATTTCTGCAGGTCTGTCTGTGTCATTCTCTCTCTGTGTTTGTCTTCAAAAAGGATTCGATTTTCCTGTGACCAAATTCAATGACTAATTTGTTCCTCCCTTCTTCAGGGCCTGTGTGTGTGTGTGTGTGTGGTGTGTGTGTGTGTGTGTGTGTGGTGTTGGGAGGAATTCCTCCATCCACAGTTTATTGGTTTCCACCCTGCCAGCCCCTTCCCCCTTACCCCCATGCCCAATGCTGTATTTGTGATTTTTTTGTATTTTGTACCAGACCCTAGGAAGGGGCTGGGGCTGGGCTGGTTGGTGTTGGGCTGAGTGGTCCCTCTCCCTCCAATCCCCAGGATCTGCCTCAAGTGTTTCAACCCACCCAATAAAAAGGCTTTACAAAAACACACCCTTTGGATGTGGTCATCTTCGTCCCTTTCATCCTTCCCTTCGTGGGCAGCATGACATGAGCAAAGTTAGGCCCTGGGATAACATCTTCCCAGCAACGGGTTTCTGCTCCAGAGTTCTTCCTAGGCTGCTCAGAGGTCTCATGGCTGAAGTCTGACTCTGAGGCAAGGGAATGGGGGCAATGATCAGCAGTCAGACTCTGTTGATGATATATTTCTAGAGAAGCAAGAGACCAAGTGATGCCTTCCTGGCTGGCATCAAATCAAAACAGGAAAGACTGAGGCCAGATCTCTGAGAGGGCTTCCTGTCAGGAGGCTTGAGCAGACTGCTTCCAAGCAGGGAGTGAGGGGAGTCACTATTTTCTAAATTCTTCCGATAGGGTGAGGGCTACCTGGAAGGCACAGACTGTTTCACTTATTACTGGTCATTGTCTTTGTGTATAACAAGGGAGACTGAGGTTAGACCACTAGGCTGCCCTTCCACTTAACAAAGCTAGATCACCAGATATTTCCCCAGGTCTCTGCTGGCAGTAGTGCCTATGGGACTGGAGGGAGTGGGGGTTGACTACCCTCCCCTCCCCTTTCCTATCCTGCCAGGAGCTCTACTGTCTCAGCAGCATGGACTAGTACTTAAAACTCTGAACGTGGGCTCAGAAAGTCTTTGCTTTAAATCTTGCCTCAGACAATCAACAGCTCTGAGACCTTGCTAATCACCCTCTAAGTTTCATTTTCCTCATCTGTAACATGGGAAGAACAGTAGCATCTCCTAGAGTTGTTGTGAGAGTTCAACAAGATAAAGTATACAAAATAATTTATAAGCCTTAAAGAAGCTGTGAGCTGCTAGTCCACTGCAGGGCCAGGGATCTGCACTGGGGATCTTCTGACTCCTCCTAGATGTTCCTAGATGTTCTTTGATGGATCCACTTCAGTTTCTCCTGCTGAGTTTCTCCAGATGAGTTCTCCCGGGTTGGCCTTCAGAGCCGGGGAGTGAAGAGTAAGGACTAGACTTTTATTATTGCATGACTTAGAGGATAGTGGAAGCCTTTGAGAGACCATGATATTTTGACTCCATCGTTTGACGAATAGAGAAAAAGAGGCCCAGGGAAGAAGAAACTTGACTAAGGTCACACTTCAGCCCGCAGGAATGGAAAACGTATGGAGGGGTGGTACAATTCGAGAAACAGGAAGAGAGGATGATGAGTAATGTATCCAAGCAAAGGAAAACACAAGGGGAGATGACGCCCGAAAAGTGAAACAGAAGCATTCTATCGCTAGACATCTGCCCCGCACCGCAAACCACTGAAAATGATCAGAGCAGACGACAACATACTCCTTGCTTTTGACTTCCTCCGAAAACATATATAAAGCTTCCCAAAAGAAATATTTTAAAGCTAGGGTGAAAAAATTTGTATGTTCATTTACCTCATTGAGCTTAACACCTTAGGGAAATATGACAATTTCGCAAATCCCTATTGTTCACTAAAATTTTCTCCTCTCTTCTCCGGAATGGTACGAGTGACAGCTAGTGCTGATAATCCCCTTCATTTGCATCGCGCCGAGCATTCTGGGAGACATTTCCCCTGCGGGACCCATCCCTCAGGCTCCCGCCCTGGGCTGCTGCGTTTGCGGTGGGGGCGGGGGGGGGGGGTGTTGCTCCTGCCCATCCCCTGAGGCCATCGGAGCCCCCGGGGTTTCCTTCCTCCTCCAGCCAAGGCAGGAAAGGCCCCCGAGGAGTGCCTGGGATGTTGGAGCCCGGCCCTGAGAGCTCAGCTGGCCCACCCCACCTCATTTTACACCCGGGGACACTGAGGCCCAGAGAGGGGAAGCCACTTGCCCGAGGTCACACAGCGGGGCAATGACAGCAGCGTGCACTCTAACCCGGGGGAGGAGCGGCCGTAGCAGAAGATCTAGATACTTTAAAAGCACATCCATCCTCTGCAACATTGGTGCCACTCCCCCGGATCATGCCAAGAACCCAGAGGGCTCGGACATCAAATATCCCGCTCCTTGTGCGCGTAGACGCGGCCTGCTGTTGTTCCATACCCACGCCTTCGGGGTGCAAACACTGGGGTTTGGGCGACATCTTGCGGCTTTACGTGGGACTGTCGCCTTCGGGAGCCCGAGTCCCACGGACTCCCTCAAGGCCCCAATCCCTCCAGCCCACCTCGACAGGGTCCCTCTCCGGCTTCACAACATTCTCTGGCTCCCACCGCGGCATTGCTGGCTCTGCTCCCCACTAGCTATGACCTTGGATAACTCCTTTCCTTTTCTCGAGTCTCAATTTATTTTCCCATCTGTTGGCACTCACCACCTATTCCGTGGCAGTCTAGGGAAACCTGTGCATACTCTTGCTCAGAATTGTGCTTTTAGTGCATAGAATACTATAGAGGATTAAAAAGGCAACCAATTGGGTTGAAATAAACATGTCACTTTTTCCCCATTCAACTTCTTCTATCTTTGAAATGTATCCACACATGTCTGGGGGTCTCTGAATAAGCCTTTTGCACAGAGCGCAAAACAACACTCCCAGTAGATGCTATTAGACTACCCATTTTACAGGGGGGAAACTGAGGCAAACAGAGATGAACTCAGGGTCACATAGTTGTAAGGACCTGAGACCAGATTTCAACCTGGCTCTTCCTGACTAGAGGCCCAGCAGGCTTCCATCCCCTGAGCCTCGCAGCTGCCTAGTCCAGTCATGGCTAACTATGTGCTCTCTCCTAGGCAACATTGGCCTCCAGAAAACCAGCCATGGTCGGGGACATCAGACCTCTGGGAGAAGGTTGCCTAGCAGGGCTTGAACAGGAAGGGCTTGGGCCCATTCTATTCACCAGCTGATCCCAACTCGACAGAGCCCTACATACGGCAAGCTAAATAATCGTGGACTGATTAGTTTGCACCTCCAAGTCATTCTAGCATGACAGAACCTCAGACCTGGACGGCCTTTGGAAATCAACTGCTCTGATCCTTTCCTTCTAGCGAGGGGGAAGCTGGTCCCTCTAACCATTTCCCACATCAGCCGAACAACAAACCCAGAAGCCAAGGCTCCAAAGTGTTCTCCCACCCCAGTGCTCTCTCCATGGTGCTGCCCATTGAAGACTCCCATTTTTCCAGGGAATTAGGACATGCTTTTCTCGAAGCAGCTCTCTGACGCTGGGAGTATCATCAGTATTATTACCCTGTGTTACAGGTTAGGAAACTGACACCCAGAAAGGGGAGACTGAGTTGCTCAGCTGTTAAGACCTAGGGAGTCAAACTGAGGTCATAGCATCATAGTGATACTGTAAGTAAACTGAGGGTCACAGAACTTTGGTGACTTACCCAATGTCATCCGGGTAATAAGAGAGGCATGATCTGAACCTAGATCATGCCTCAGGCCGTGTCATTTCTACGGTGTCCCATTGCCTCTCCTTGCCAAGCATTCTCTCCTCTATGGCACACTGCTTCTACATTAATAACAGGTCTCCAGGTCATTGACTCAGCAGGACAGGGGGAGGAGGAGACTTTGACCAATAATGTTGGTTGACTGTCCAAATGACTACTTGAGTCCACTTGTTTTCCACACGTTTTTATTAAAGTGTAAACCCAAGCTCAGTTCCTTCCTCAACCCCATGAAATGCCCCAGGGGTGGGGACAGGGTTGCAGACAGGGAGATACCCCCCCACACACACCTCAACACCCCAGCTGGGAAGGGGTGATAGGGAGTGACAGGGGGTGACCACCTGGCATCAGGGATGGCTGCCCTCTCTAGGGTACTACAAGTCTCTGGCCTTTCTAGGCACCCAAGGACCATCTGCAGACCCCCAGACAGGTGCATGTCATCCTAAAGGCCATGGAGGGTGGCGGGTGTGGAGGCAGGGATGAAAGGGAGTTGGATAGTTGAGCATGGAGAGGCCCTGGGTAGGTTCACCAGAGCTGGAAGGTGTGTGTATGCGTTATGTGTGTGTCTGTGTGTATGATCCAGAACTGGGGAGGCTGGCAGGGAGGGGGCCAGGCAGGGGAGTTGAAAGAGGGCACCGGGGTGCTGTGGGCAGGCGGGTCCCGGGCTGGCCGGAAGAGGGGCTCATTCAGCTTTGGCTTTGGAACTTGCAGAGGCCCCAGTCCCTGGGATCTTTGAATAGATCCTGCAGAAACAATGGAGACCACGAGAAATCAGAGATTTAAATAGAATTTGTGATATACCTGTACACACATAAACACAAACACCCACAAACACACCCCCCCACACACCCCTACATATTTTAGTTGCTAACTTTAGATGTGAAAGAATCATAGGGCATCAGAGCTGGGAGGTTCCTTACAATAGGAAATGTCAGAACAGGTAATATCAGAGCTGACAGAGAGTTTAGAACAGACCACGTCAGAGCTGAGAGGAACCTTAGAACAGGTGATGTCAGAGGTGAGAGAGACATTAGAACAGGAAAAGTCAGAGCTGGGACGGGTCTTGGAACAAGACTGTCAGAGCGAAGCAGAAGGGCCCTTGAAACAGAAAGCATTAGAGCTGGGGGAGACCTTTGAAGACAGAATGTAGGGGTTAGTGAGATTTCAGGGATCATCGGCTCCAATTCCCTCATTTTAAAGATGAGAAGAAGGGACTTGATTCCAAGTCACATGGTCAGTCAATGGCAAAACCACCGAGTAACCAGACTCGAGGGTCCTGTTTCCCAGCCATAGCTTGGACCACAGTCCAGGCGCGTTTCCATGCCTGCCACCAGTGGCTGTAGTTGGAATTGCAGTGGGAAAACAGGAGGTGTCCACTAGTTCTTTGGGAAGGGGGTGAGTAAGGATGGAGATGGAATTTGGGACCAAGGGAAGAGAGAGAAGGCGTTTGGATGCACCCAAAAGGCCTCGTTGCCCTTCCCAGAGCCACAGACACAGCAGTACGCACTTAGCCTTGATGTAACTCAGCTGACTGTTCACCAGCCCAACATATTGGTCGATCTGGGCCTAAGGGAGGTGGAGATCAGGTTATCTTGGGGGTGGGAAGAGAACTTCTCTCTCA